CCCACGATTCGACCTCCTCCCATTCGATGCTGAAAAGTCGTGTGGATTTCATTCGAGATCCATGAGAAACAATTGTGGCAACGTCAAACTGTGTGCTCTCAGAAATTGGTTGGCCCACGACTGTGACGTGATGTAAAGCGTTTTTTTGAACATGCACGGTTTTTCCATCTCTTTTTCCAAAAAAGGGATGGGTAAGAAAATGGGGAAACGCTCTCGGTCTAGAGACTGTTTCCCCATTTTTTTACAACACGGGTCGTGCCAAGCTTGAACAAATGACCCCACGATTGTCTACGCGATCCATCTGCTGCTTGCGCTCTGATGGATTTACAATCACCAATGGTTATGTGTGCAAGTCTGGCGACGGATCCATTGCGAAGCAGGAGCTCTTTGATAAACTGTCTAGCCTAAACGCAACGACCCTCGTCTTACCAGACGACACGACACGGAAATTATGGAGCGACATCCTGAGCACGTGGCCGAAATATCATCCTGCTCACGATATAAAGATTGTGACTCTGGATACTTTGCCTGAGCCGCCCATCGGACGGTGCGAGTCTTGCGGTCGGGAAGAGTGTCACCGTTGGATTGCAGTAGTGGGTGGTATTTCACGCTACCTGAATATGTACTTTAAACCAATATATCATTGATGCTGTAAATCATTTTGAATAGATTAATAAAAAAAAGGCTTTACGATCTTAACTCATCTGGATTTCTTGGAGCAAACATTTCTTTTTTCTGCATTGTCTTTAAGAATGGAGATGGGGATGAATGCGGATGAGGATGAATGTCCAATCTGTTGTACTTCTTTTAAATTGCTAAAACCAATTTATGAAACTCCCTGCAAACACTTGTTCCACAGGCCATGTCTCGATCTATGGTTGAAGGTCCGTGTACGTCAGACTTGCCCCGTGTGCCGCAAAACAATATCGAGAGATTTGTGTGAAACAACTTACTACGGCAGAAAAACATTTGATATGCCTACGCAATGTCAAATTGATTTTTACGACACTGAGCTGTATAATGCGAAATTTAAATTAAGAAAATGCATTTCAAAAATTGAACACTGCCTGGAGAGTGTGAAACCATTGCTTCAGGAAGACGAATCCCTATTTCGATCGATTTGTGGACTAGGCGAACAGTTCTATGAATCGTCCGGTTGGGCGCTTTACAACCTTCTTGATATTGTAATACTACTCGGAGATCTAAAAACTGAATACAGGAGTGTTGGAATAAACATGCAAAGCCAACGTCAAGACGAACGTGACAAAATTGATTTTTATCGAAATTGCATACCTCCTAAGCGAAAAATCTTCAGAGACGTCGTTTTAAAACTCCAACTTGATATTGAGAAAGTGCTAACATTGAGTGAGGAGAACAACGTCCTCCATCGCGAGATAAAAGACGATTTTAAACATTTTACAGAATCATACGCGTTAGCAAACGAGAGTCTGCACCGAATTGAAGGAGCCATGGAGGCCCTCAAGAATGAGAAGTTGCAAATGTTGCAAGATGAAAATATTTGAAAACTCTCTGATTTGAAAACTCTTGGGCTGAGGCAAATTTGGGTCGAGCCGAAGTTTGAAATTTTCGAAATGCAAGTTTTGAGTTGTCATGGGCAAGCGTTGTCGTTACGTCACATACCACTTCCGGTTCATAAAAAAAATTTTTTTTCACTCGTCCGGAGATTTTGGGTTGAGCAAAAATTTTCTCGAGACTGAATGCAAGGCACTTGGATCTGACATCCTGGAGCAGGNTTTTTTTTTTTTTTTTTTTTTTTTTTTTTTTTTTTTTTTTTTTTTTTTTTTGAAGACGCTGCGCAGGTGCAGGGTCATCCATGGGGGGGATTCAGAAATCCATGGCACCTGGGTCTGACATCCTGGAGCAGGGTTGGATTTTTGGGTTGGATTTTTTCCATCTATTATATTTCATCGTTTAAAACGATATTTCCCACGCTTTGTGGGTTGGTGAAGGTGTGTATTATGAAAAAACGATGTTTTTTTTAAATGTGCAAACTGTTAACTAGGGTAGAAGAGCTGTTTGAGCATTTTTTAATTACAAATAAGAATTTTTTTATTCAATTAAAAATTAGAATATTTTTTATAACTACAAAATTGAAAAAAAAATTTTTTCACTCGTCTGGAGATTTTGGGTTGAGCAAAAATTTTCTCGAGGCCACAGACTGGGGTCTAGCAAAATTTGGATCGAGACAAATTTCAAATTTTCGAAATGCAAGTTTTGAGTTGTTGGCCACGCCCACTTCCGGTATAATTTTTTTTTTTTTTTTTTTTTTTTTTTTTTTTTTTTTTTTTTTTTTTTTCACTCGGTCGCAGATTTGGGTCCAGCAAAAATTTTCTCGAGACTGAATGGGATGGCCATCGAGCGTCACATGCCAATGGATGAATTGGACTGTAGACCAATGGACGCATTGCNCGACTTGGGCCGAGGCAAAAATTTTCTCGAGACTGAATTTGAAATTTTCGAAATCCAAATGTTAAGCAGTTGTTACCTTTCCATCACTTCCGGTTTATGAAAAAAAAATTTTTCACTCGGCCACAGATTTGGGTCCAGCAAAATTTGGGTCGAGACAAAATTTGAAATTTTCGAAATGCAAGTTTTGAGTTGTCATTTGGGCACGCCCACTTCCGGTTTAAAAATTTTTTTTCAGCTGAGCCCCGAGCTTCGAGTCTCGAGACAATCTCTCCATGCATCATCCAAACGTCCACCTGTCCTTGGGTCATTGACCTTTCAATCACAATTCCCATGTCCTGTCACGTGATATCCTAAAAGTGCATCTGGTGAAAGTGTTTTGTCGCTCGACTTCTTGGAATTACATCCGGTGATATTCTAAAAGTGCATCTGGCGGATGTGTTTTGTCGCTCGATTTCTTGAAAGTGCATCCGGTGAGGTGAATCGAATGTCCTGTCGCATGACTTTCTGGAAATGCATCGTGTGATTCTTTTCAGGTCACGTGGCATTTTCTAAAACATTTCAGGACGACTGGAGCGCCCTCTGTGTGTCTATAAAAAGGGCTTGCACGCCGAGGAGCCGTTATATATTTTGACATAGAGTCGATTCAAAATGGCAAATCTTTTTATTGTAAGAAATCTCGTTCTCAAATCCCCCGATGAGGTNTTTTTTTTTTTTTTTTTTTTTTTTTTTTTTTTTTTTTTTTTTTTTGAGATTGGGCTTTAACTAGCCAGCGAGTACCCAGTCTCTTCACTCCTCATTCAGGATTTGAAAGTTCAAGAAGTATTTTGTCATCAATATCATTATTCAAAAGTTCTTCCTCGAGTCAGGACGTGTCTTCAATTGCTCCTGGTCGACGGCAAAGGCTGCAGATCGTTCCGGCAAATATCAGAGAGAGCATCGGCAAGGCAGACGGCAATCGTCGGCCAGTCGTTCATCTAGTTCAGACTTGTAAATTTTTCAGGCATATCTTCTCAAAGTGGAGTCGCGGCTGCGACTGGAACTGGAACTACATTGATTTTTGGGGCACCTACACAATTGTGTTTATCCCCAGTATAAAAGTTGTTGTGCCTGATGAGCTAAGTTTTCTTCAGGTGGAAAAAATTTTACATGAAGTGATGAAAAAATATCTAAGTAGNAGTTGTCGATACTTTAAATGATTTGGAGAGGCGAGGAGGAGAGCTGGAAATTCGTTTTTCTCGGGATCTGTAATCTGATGCCGAGACCAAAGGAATTTTGGCCGGATGTACTCGAGAAGGGGCCACCGGGACAAAGGAGAGTGGAGTTGGTTTGAGTATCTTGACAGGTGCTGAGGCCACAGGCATGGGTGGTGACACGGGTTCAAAGTACTGAGGCTCAGGTGAGAGAGGAAACGGAGAAATCAGGTTCGGTAAGTGAATATCCATAGCTGTGGGAGTTGGAGGCGATGGAGAAGTTGCTTGCAGAAGATTCAATTCCGGCAAGCTCTCTTCGTCCGAAGAGGAAGAGAGCAATATTTTAGATATTCCAAACTTCTTTTTAACCATGGTTGGAAGAGCAGAGAGAACTGGCAGAGGTGAAGCGCTGGTTCTGAATGATCTGAAGGCTGAAAAGGCTGTGCCTTATATACTACTCAAGTAGGAAGTGAAACGTGATGTTTTTGAAATGGTGATAATTTTTTTTCCATTGGATTCAAGAATTGGGTGGAGAGCAAACTCCGTCTCGAGGGTGTCCTTTTCAAGTTGTATGGAGGTCAACTTCAAGGCGTAGAAGATTTCTAAAGATTTCAAACTTTAATTAACCTATAAAAAATAGATATTCATTGCACGATGTCAATTCTTTCACAACGCTGGATAGAGTTCAAACTATTACTAGTTGTGAGAGCTCCAGAAAATTCTGATGAGTTGAGATTATCGAGACTCAATGATTTCAAACAAAGACTTTCCAACAAAATATATCATGTGGGGTATCAATAGATTCGTCTCGATGAGTAAAATATTTTGGTGTGACCGTTGAAAATACCTGTTATTGCCCATCACTACATGAGACCCCCATGGAGCAAAGTTGGTATTTTCAACAAAGACTTTCCAACAAAATATATCATGTGGGGTATCGATAGATTCGTATCGATGAGTAAAATATTTTGGTGGCCTCTGTTTTCAGTTGTACCAGCCACGGTACAATTTTAAATTTTCCAGCAAAGTATATCGTGTTGGGTGCCTATAGACTCGTCTGGATAAGATAAATATTTTAGTAATCAAAGTTTTGGAAAATTTAGTGGCACTCGGGACGCACAGCAAATGCTTATCTCATCCAGACGAGTCCATAGGCGCCCAACACGAAATACCTCGCTTGAAAATGTAAAATTGTACCGTGGTAGGTACAACTGAAAGCAGAGGTTACCAAAATATTTTACTCATCGAGACAAATTTTTTGATACCCCACACGATAGGTTTTGTTGGAAAGTCTTTGCTTAAAATCCAACTCTGCTCCATGGGGGGTCTCGTGGACCCGGGTGCGATCAAAATATTTTACTCATCGATACAAATTTTTTNTTCCTGTATCGCGAACAAAAACTTGTCAAGCATCTCTCGCTTCCACCATTTCAAAATGATAATCACAGTGTCTGTATTAACCAACTTGCATCTCTTTAGAATAGAATGGTATAAAGATACCTCGGGTAAAACGTCTTCACCCTTAACAATATTACGTACAATGCATCGGATTTTGTGCAATCTATAGGGTCTATTCATTTTACATAGTACACCCACTTCGACCAGACGCCAATAGATACATCCATCCTTTCCCACAACTCCAGATAGAGAAAGAGAATCGCTGGAATCCAAATGCAACTTGAACCACATTGTTGAAGGCTTAACAGGACTCATGGATCAGAATCAAATCGTTACAAGTTTAATGTGATGTGAGGACCTACCGACTTGCATTTATAAGACTATCGTAAAAAAGAAAGAAAAAAAAATTTTTTTTTTTTTTTATCAATGTAATTGAGAATTTCAGAGAGTTTTAAAATCAGAGAGTTTAGAGAGTTTTCAAATCAGAGAGTTTTCAAATTTTTTCATCCTGCAACATTTGCAACTTCTCTTTCTTGAGGGCCTCCATGGCTCCTTCAATTCGGTGCAGACTCTCGTTTGCCAACGCGTATGATTCTGTAAACCGTTTAAAATCGTCTTTTATCTCGCGATGAAGGACGTTGCTCTCCTCACTCAATGTTAGCACTTTCTCNTCTGCAGTATTTGCCGTCGCTGGATTCGACTTGCTGAAGATTTGCCGGGACGATTTGCCGTCGCTGGATTCGACTTGCTGAAGATTTGCCGTGACGATTTGCCGTCGCTGGATTCGACTTGCTGAAAATTTGCCGTCTGTTATGCCGTGGTTCTCTGTATCCTTTGCCGGGACGATCTAGCAGTATTTGCTGTCGCAGGAGCACATAGTAGACACGTCTTGACTCGAGGAAAAAGTTTTGGAAAATGATGGAGATGACAAAATACTTCTTGAGCTTTCAAACTCTGGATGAGGAGTGAAGTGACTAGGTACGCGCTGGCTCTTTTAAACTCAATTTCACAAAAAAAAAAAAAAAAAAAAAAAAATTTCCAGTTACTATCGATACCCCCCAATGCGTTCCTCTTCTACAAGCTCGTTTTCTACCTATTTTGTGAGATAATATTATGGCTTCCTCAAATATGAAATCGAGTAATGATTATACTGATCAAGAAAAATATTCCTCACCCTCTCACTTCTTAATAACCCCCTAGATAAATTCTTCGCTATTATCCAAGCACTGGCCCCATAAAATATTTATTCTCATTCATTCTACTCTGATACCATCCACTTTTATTTTATTTTATTATTATTATTTTTCTTTTTTGCCACGTCTGCCTTACGACTCTTTAAACTTTTGCTAGACGATTACCCATTTCCTCCTAGATCCCCCACATTATACAGCTGTTCGTGTTTATCTAAATACACCCACATGCGCTATGAATCACCCGAAATTCCTTTACTGTTACTATGACCTGTCTTACTTCTTTCTATTATTAATAAATACCATATCTACGTACTACCGTGGTGTAGACGACTTTAGTGTGGATGCTGGTCTCTGCTACACACTCGACTGGTAACCCCATGATTCTTGGTTCGATCCCCAGCGGAGATATCTTTTTTCCTACCTTGTCAATACTAGTATTATTATCATTATCTTGTTAATCTATGTTATTCTTTAATTTTTATACCTCTACAGATTTTTTCTTTCCTCAATCTATGTTAAAGCAATACCATTAATGTACGTTGCTAATTCACAATACTGCCTTTATCATACACCTCGATACCTCTAAATTCTTGTTTCTTGTTGACCCCCTATTTCTTGTTTTCCATTATTATTCGATCGGAGGTGCGTGCCCAGTGCACAGGTACTCCGTTGCCTAAAAGCAACACCACTCGCCCTTGGTCTCTGCTGGATCATAAAACTAGTATNGATCAAGAAAAATATTCCTCATATCATGACATGGAAGAATTGTATCATAACAAGGAATACTCCAAACATTCCTCCCCAAGATGCAACCTCGAACATAGTTCTGGTTTCGGTTTGAATCCCGAAACCAAACAGGGATGCTCTTCGCCTTCAACCACTCCCAGCTCCACTGATTTTCTTACGATGCTGAACTCCTGCTCTCCAGATAAGTTCCAACATATTTCCAAAGACTGGATGTTACTTACTCCACAACAGTGTCAGAATTATAGACTTTTTGTGCCCTTCAACGATGATGCACCGCCTTTCTCTGAACACCCATACGGACACAGATTATACTCCATTTGTGATCTAATTAAACATCTACTAGAACATGGTGTTGAAATCAACTCCAATAACAAACTTTTCTACGAAAAAACTTTGGACCTTCCTATTCCAGCTCCATTTGCCTTTATCACAACAATTTCCCATAGACTCTATAGACTGATCAATCCGGAAAATGAACAGGAAAAATCCGTGAACTATATGTTAACAGAACAGATCAACACTCTTCTTGAAATGTTAAGTAAGTCAATTATAAATGAGTCACTTAGTATTGAAATTTCTAATTATGCATTTTATTTTTCTTGTATTATTAAGAATGGTTTTCCTTTCACTATTAATTCAAACTCTGCATTTATTCATGATCCCATGTTTTTCAATCCCTATGATTATGATTCCTCCCCTTATATTAACAAACTATTCTCAAATACATTTTCTGACCCTACTGATATCGGTATAAAAAGATTGTTTATTGCAACTAGAAAAGAACTCTATAATCTATGCAATCCAACAAATATTATATATACTGAGGAACCTGTTCCTTTTATCAAGGTAGGAAAAAGATACCTAAGCCCCACCCATGACGAAAGATCTAACGATAATAATAAAAAACAAGCCCTCGATCTCAAAAACCAGTTTGATTGCCTGGAAAGCGAAGCTATCCACCCCACCTCCCCCGTAACTATCATTTCACATCAAAAGATCGACTCTAACCCCCCAATTCCTCCTTCGGATAACTCCCCAAATATTACTACTAACCAAAACAATAAACCCCCCCCGATCATGGTGCAAACCGATATTAAATTTGATTCACTACTTGCCAACATCAATATGGCACATGACTTTAAAGTAACAGGTAAACCAGATAGAGGTTACCTTAAACTTTTTACTAATACCCCGAATGAACACAGAACTATTACTAAATACCTCCTTAACAATAACATTAATCATTACATCATAAACACAAAGACTAGTAAACAAATCAAAATTGTGATCAGAGGCCTACCAATCGATTACGACCTAAAAGAAATTAACAGCCATCTAAATAAACTCAACTTTTTCCCTAAAGATATTCATCAAATGAGATATCCCAAAGGAGACAGAAGACTCCTACCACTCTTTCTAATTAAGCTTGATAACTCGCCGATCAATAAATCTATTATCGATATCAAAGAACTCGGTTTCTTCGAAGTTATTATGGAAAAATTTAAAGCAAATAACCTTATCTCCCAGTGCCATCGCTGCCAACTATGGCGACATACGAGCCGCCAATGCAATATGACACCTAAGTGTGTTAAGTGTGGGGACCCACACCTCACAGCCGATTGTCCCACCAAAGGTAAAATCTCAACACCAAAATGTTCGAACTGCGGTGGTAATCACCCTGCTAATTATAGAGGATGCCCCCATTTCCCTAGACCAAAAAATTATCCCCCCCCTCCATCTAAATCACAATTCAACAAATATGACCACACCCCATCAATTAACAACCCCCCAAACATCCAAAACAATGCTCAGCCCAATATCAACGATAATCATTGTGATACTATTAATACGCTAACTACCATCAAAGATCTTGCATCTGATGAATCCTTCATTAAATTAATTACGCAACTTAAAAATATCCTCCCCACCCTCTCACTTCTTAATAACCCCCTAGATAAATTCTTAGCTATTATCCAAGCACTGGCCCCATAAAATATTTTTTCTCATTCATTCTACTCCGATAACATCCACTTTTATTTTATTATTATTATTTTCCTTATTTACCACGTCTGCCTTACGAATCTTTAAACTCTTGCTAGACGATTACCCATTTCTGGGCCTCTCATTTCCTCCTAGCTCCCCCCACATAAAACAGCTGTTCGTGTTTATCTAAACACACCCACATATGCTCTGACTCACCCCAAATTCCTTTGCTGTTACTATGACCTGCTTTACTCCTTTCTATTCTTAATAATTACCATATCTACGTACTACCGTGGTGTAGTGGATAGCACACTCGACTGGTAACCCCATGATTCCTGGTTCGATCCCCAGCGGAGACACACTTTTTCCTACCTTGACAACACTAGTTTTATTATCATTGTCTTGTTAGTCTATGTTATTCTCTAAATTTTTTTATACCTATACTGATTTTTTTTTTTTTTTTTTTTTTTTTTTTTTTTTTTTTTTTTTTTTTTTTTTGTTCAATCTATATTAAAGCAATTCCATTAATATACGTTGCTAAATCACAATACTGCCTTTATCATACATCTCGATACCTCTAATGTTTATGTTTTATAGATACTATTAATTTATCACAACATTGTCATAATTATTACCTCAAAATTATTAATTAATTAAATACTCAGTATTTTGTAACATATTCTCATTTTTTTTTCTCTTTTTATCCCTATGACTTAATGTAATTGTGGTATGTCATTGCTCACTGTCTTACATCAATACTTTCAACGTATTATTATGAAACATTTCACTGTTTAATTCAACCCATTCCAATCAGCGATAGATGCATTAGAAGTACAAATTTTCCAACTTAAGTCTTATCCCACAAAACAGGTACGTGGTAACATAAATGGTTCTTGTACGATCAATGGCTCTAATAATGTTTCTAATATTATTGATGATTCTAATCATAATCTTAACAGTGCTAGCACTGAAAAATTCTCAATTGATAATTTTTCCAATTATTCTGTGAATGATGATATTACTGTTACTGATTGTGATACTTTTTATGATACCAGTACTAATACTAATGTTATTGAGGATGATTCTAACGGTAGGGATAGAAATGATAGTCTTAATGTTAATAACAACTCAAATAGACTAAATAATTACCAAAAGGTTACTAAGAGAAAGGAGCAAGGTGAGGGAGAGTTTGCCCAGCCCCCTACCAAGAAAACCTATAAACGCTCCGCACCCTCTCTTAATCCCCACCCTATTAACACTAACAATACCTTCGAAATTCTAACTCCACAGGAGGAAGACTCAAATGTTATGGAAGTTAACTATGCTACCCTCCCTAAGGTGCAACCTATTATTGTCCGGTTCGGAGAAAGTCACACTTCTTTCATGAGCAAGCTCATTGAAAAAATCAACTATGATATAACTGCTAAGGCCTCAGGGCCAAATCTAAAGCTATTTCCCCCATCACCCGAAAAATATAGCGAAATAATCGCTTATCTTGACGAGAATAATTACGAGTACATTTTATTAAGAGGCAAGAATGATAAGCCAAAGAAGTTTGTTGTAAGGGGATTACCCATTTCAACAGATACCACTGACATTGAAAATGATATTAAAAAACTTGGATTCAACGCACATAAAGTCAGTCGAATGACGAATCAGTACACAAGCAGGCCCCTCCCCCTATTCCTTATACAGATATTTCAATCCCCCAGCTATAACCTAGATTCAATCTACGATATTAAACGTTTATGTTACGGACTCTTTATTTGGACTCTTTATTTCAACTTAATAAACTTTGCTATGTTGATATCGTTATAGAACGCTACCGGGGTAATCCAGTAGTAGTTCAATGCTATAACTGCCAGCGATTCGGCCACTCCGCAGAGAATTGCAGAATGCAATCTCGATGCGTGAAGTGCGCCGAGTTTCATAAATCCAAAGAATGCCCCCATTCTGATATTTATGGCAAAGTCGACAGATCCATTTTAAAATGCACATCCTGCTTTGCCAATCACCCCGCATCATTCAAAGGATGCTCTAAATATCCAAAAATGAGAAAAATTCAATTCATTAATCATAGAAAATCACCCACCAGCAGAATCATTTTGGCAACTTTGCCTAGGTTTATCGAGGCTCCTGGGTCATCCTGTCCAAGTATTATCCCTCCCCCCCCCTTATCTCAAATAATGCGTTTATTTTTTATTCCTACTATTTACAACTATTA